GTCTAAGGTGGGCTGGGCTAAGTTATGACATACAGCATGTTAGGTGTATTAAATATACTTTTGATTTGCAATATTTTCAATTAATGATGGGTGTATTAGGATGTAACCCTACTATAAGTGGAGGAAGATCTGTAGTTGAAAAGTTTGCTAGTTTGTATATGCCCGAGAATAAACATGAGTCACAGGGCTGAGAAGCTAACTGCTCTGTAGTCAGTTATCTGATTATCAGTTTCAAATAATTTGAGAAAATAGTGAGGAATTATAAAATAAAAATCAGCCCTATGCCAATAATCTTTATTTCCCCACCCTAAATCTTTTCATCATTATTTGAGGCTAGGATCTCTGATTAGAAGATCAGAGGTGTTATGAAGCCAGTAGGGGTTTGCTGATGCTTGGCTAAGTAGCTCACATCAAAGGGCTGTCACATTATCAACATGCATAACACAAAGAATCACAGACTTCTGGAATGAACTCTTCAAGTTTCCCATTTATGGAACCTCTGTTTCACCTCTTTACCTAAGGTCATTTTTCCATGTTAATTGAATCAACCAAACTTTGGGCAAAATTGAAGGGTCTTCCTAACTCCCACTTAATCTATTAACATTGTTATATAATGACCCAATGAAATCCTCAAAATATTCCCAACACACAAATACAACATCAACATTTCTTAAACTAGGGTTTTTAAAGTCAAGACTATGTTTTTGAAGTATATTAGTGACCTTCTTTCAGCTTACCAGGGAAACACTGAGTATAAGAAATCAATAAAACCACTATATTAGAAAATTAGAACATCATATTCAAGATCTTTGAAAATTCAGGTTATTATTCATATATATATGTAGTGAAATACATACATATGATCATATATGATAAAATAAAAAGATCACAAATTTGGAGTCAAATAGACCTGAATTCAAGAATCCTGGTTCTGCTACCTAGACCCAGGAAAAACTATTTTACTTCTTGAGATCTTCACTGGAAATAATGGGAAAATAATAAAAGTAGTCAAAAATATTCAGCAATTACTATTATGTGTGAGATCATGAATTTGTTTTTGAGTCATAATCTCATTTAATTCTCAAAGCAACTGCATTCAAGAAACAATATTACCCCTCTTTCTCAGATGAGGTAACTGAGATAAGAGAAAGTTGAGTAATTTGCTAAAGGTCATAAAACCAATAATTATGTTCTTACCACTGTTCTACACTGTCTATTCTGCAGCCTTTACATAATGATGGAAATCAATGTATATGAAGCATTTTAATCCATAATATGGCATAATAAATTTTAGGTAATACTATTAATTAATAAACATCAGATAAATACCAGCAATGTTTAGCTTTATTAACTGATATATGATTGTGGCTTTCTAGTTGTCAAGGTGAAATGGCTGGTTATAAACATTTTACAGATTCACAAATATTTACTGAGCTCCTATGATGTGACTGGGATTTTACTCACCACTGTGGCCCATGGAAATGGGCCTGATTTCTGCCCTCACAGGTTTACAATGCACAGGCAGCTGGAGTGGATTAAAGGCCACTGAGAATTATAATGGCCTCTTAAACTGGAATCAAAAGTGCCAATGATTGAGAATGGCAGCCAGTCTTAGCAAGCAATGTCAACAAAAGGAATGCAGTCACTGCCATCCATCTTTTTAGTTTGACTATTTCTAAGGTTAAAAAAATCTTTCTGCAGATTCCACAAATACCCATGTATCATTTTCATTTTTATTCAGTCTGCATATATGTAAGTTTTCTTAGGAATTTGGCATTATAGGTTTAATTCTGGGCTCTTTCGATCAAAGCATGTGCATCTCAACCTATTTTGAAATCTATCTATACAGGATTCTAGTCTACGATGTGAAAACAATAACCAAAACTAAAAATCTCTCCAAGACACCATTATCATAGCTTTTCACTAGTCATGTATGTTTTTTCTATTTCTCCAGCAAGTTCTCTTTCATGTCAGAGAGATCCCAAAAGCTAAATCTGTACTTTGGCAGGCTAACTATCATATTGCTTCTCTCCTCTTTTTCTCTTTGTTATTCCACCACCAATTATGCAGTCCACAAGGGATTCTACCATGTGAGGGTCTGTTACCCAGAGATCAAGTAATGCAGCAGCTGTTTATTTGCAAATACAGAATGTGATGAACACATGGTACAGAAAGATGGTTTTTTATGTTGATATCCTCTAATTTGCATAGATTATCCAGTATCCTTTTTCATTTTCTCAATTCTGCAGATATGGTAAATAGTCTTTTTATTTCCCACTGAACTGCACTGAAATAGAAATGACTGGAATGTCACCATGTGTCTGATAGTGAAGGCCCCTGGCACAAAAAGCATCTCAAGCTTTTAATAATAATAGTGATAACATTAATCATCATAGTAGCAAAATGGAAGCAGATAAAAGTTCTTACTATGTGCCAGGCACTGCCTTGGGGACTTGACATGTCTTATCCCATTTAATATTCATAAGAACCCATGATATTGACAAATGTTATCTCCTTTATCAATAAGAAAGCTGAGGGTACAGAGTTTGTTACATGTCAAAAGTCACAAAGCTACTAGGTGGCACAGCAGTGACTTTTAAAAAAAAAAGATTTTATTTACTTATTTTTGCATAAAACTTGCATATTAGCCAGAGGTGTGGGGGATGAGAGGGTTCACCAGAGACAAAGTAGGGAACAGAACAGGTGGATTTACTGAAATACACTACTGAGGGGAGCAGCGGGCGAGACAGGAGAGGTATGCTGTGCCATGTGGGTTAGCTCCCTGGTCTGGGATCAAACTCAGGTAACAGCATTGGTAACACTGAGACTCAACCCCTATGCCATCAGGGAGGCCGTGATTTAAAGCAGTGCTTTAAAGCCAGACTTGCCCTAGTTTGTTCTCCTCTCACTTCACCCTGAGAATAAGGAGGAAGAGTCAAGCAGGATGAAAGGCAGGGGGATGAGTGGGCTAAATGTTCTTAATCATTGTTCATTCATTGATCACATATTGAGTGCCTGGGAATGACTGGCCATTTTGTCTACTCATAATAAGTTCTTTGCCCTAGCGAGGCATGTTTGACTAGGACAGGTAGAATACCTAACAAACAACTACAGTGCTCACCCTATAAGGGCAGTAATCAATACGTGCCCAAGTGTAGATGGCCCAGCGAGGGTGGGACCCTGGCTTGGGGAGTTGGAGACAACTTCCCAGGTAAGGTCCTTTGGGGCATTAAGGTAACCAATACATGAGAGTTCTCAGGCTAAGTGGAAAGCTTAGAGCAGATGGCGGTCAAAGCAGGAATGGCATCACAGAACTGTGGCAGGAGGAGTTTCACAAGTGCTTCAGAGGACACCTGGTAAAGACTGTGGGAATAAGAGCAAAGGGGCAGGCAGCTTTGACAGCCTATTAGGATGGGGCATTAAAGACAGGGAGAAAGGAACAGGGAGGTGTTATACATGGGGAGGAGACCACTGAGGAAATATGGGACTGCACAAGCCCACATGGTCTGCTGGTGCAAATGACCTTTCTATATAACATACCATGTGAGGTCATCATAAAATCCATTCAATAGTTTGAGCTGGCTTTTCAGATCATTTTTATAATTAATGTGGGTTTTAATAGTGGGCTGCCAAAGAGGTAAGTTTTGATGGAAAGAAGATTGATTGTTACAAAGGTACCAGTGAGTCTCAATCAGACCCTTGGGATCCAAAGAAAGGAAGGTATGAGAAGAGAACTAGTGGCTGGGGCAGAGAGAGAGAGAAGGCATTTGTGAGCTGGAAACAGCTGCTGAAATGCAAGGCAGGCAGCATGGAGACATATGGACCATTCAATAGTGCCTACACCTGATAGCAGGCATAAGGCTGATGTGTGGGGTGAGAAGACAAGATGATAGCATCATTACTTCTGTGTTAAAAATTAATCAAGTGGTTCAAGTGAAGTGGGGGAAACCCACTGAATTGGTTAGACATCAATCACTGCAACATAGATTGAGAAAACATTTTGATAAAAAGCCACAGTTAAATATAATCAGGATTTGGGACCCCATTTTATTGCTCCTTAGATTGACATATTTTCTGTTAGGTGGGATAATGTATAGTGCCAGTCAAGCTTTTCTTGATCTTGTTGCTTCATGGTTAACTAGACTACAACATGTTTTTAAACTGTCAGATCTGAAATATGCTGGTAAGCTTTACTTCTAGATAAGAAATTGGATTTCAAGAAAAGGAAATTTTATAGCCTGTTTGTCTAGAAATTTTTGTCAATAATACAGCTGTATTGTGTACTAAGAGCATAGCAGCAAAATAAGCTCAATAAGCTCTGATTTGGTATTCTACAGAACAAAATTTGTAGTGGAGTAAAGAAGTTAAAAGATATTGCTTATGACAGCTTATAATTGGACTTTTTGAAAGCATCATTTAAACTATAGTTCCTTTGACAGAACAATTTTCCTTCTGGTTTCCCTAAATCTCTCTCTCAATAAATGATCATTCCAGAAAGGTAAGGCCAGGAGACATAGATAGTCTAACAATGCATGCATCCAGGTAACCATCTTAAAGTATAGGAGCAACTCCCAAGATCTTTATGAAGTTCAGTGTGAGGAGGCTAGACCATGGTGTCACACAGACCTAGGTTCAAATCTCAAATCTTTATCTTATTAACTCAAAGCACTTGGTCCAATGTTTGGCACACCATAGATATTCAACAATCAGAATCTGCTATTACTTTAAAATTTATTTAAAGCATAAGGAGAAAAATCCAGAGCCAAAATAAGATGGTCCTACATTTCAAAGACATAGACTCCATCTTCCTCTTTCAACTACCTCTTTCAACTTTTCATAATATCTGGTGCCATGAACTTGCCTAAAACTCTTACTTGCACAAAAATTGACATTTTAAGCATCAATTTCTTGGGTTCTCCTCTCCCTTCCACATTACTCTTGTAAAAGTGATTTAAAAGGTAAAAGTTGAATAAACAGAAACTGTTGATTTTTGGTCTTACCATTTTTGTCTGCTCTCCTCAGTATCTGGAAAGAAAAAGGAAAAATTTTATCACCATTTTTATATGCATTGCAGTGAACATTATACTCATAAATTACTCATTATTAAATAAAAGAAGTACCTATTGTAAGTAAATATCATCCAATTTGAGATCTTTCATCATAATAGTCAAAAACTGAAAACAACCCAAATGTCCATTAACAAGTGAATGGACAAACAAGCTGTGGTATGTGCATACAATGGAATACTTCTGAGCAAGAAACAGGAATGAACTCTTGCTGCATATATTATCTCGGATGGAATTCAAAGTAATCATGTTGAGTAAAAAAATTGGACACAAGAGAATACCTATTGTATGAATCCATTATATAAAATTCTAGAAAATGCAACACATCTATAGATGACTAAGAGCAGATTAAGGGTTGCTTAGTAATGAGCAGGTTAAGGATTGCTGGATTTATATGGGAGCATGAGGAAACTTTTGGGGGATGTAGATATATTTATCATCTGATAATGATAATGGTCTAATAAATGTATACATATGTAACAAGTCACCAACTTTTCATTTAAATATGCGCAATTTAAGTCAATGATATCTCACTGAAACTGGGAATAAAGAGAAACAACAAAGAAAAATAAAGTGTTGGCAAATTGGCATTCATGGGTCTATAGTATATCTTTACTTCTATGCATCAATTATATTATTGGGGGCCTACTTTTAATTCTCTTTGATGGATACAAATGGTTTAACGTTGGGAAAGAGTTCCAATTTTCTCCTGGGAGGCCAATCTTTCCTCTACTCTTGGCCCATACACTCCAGGGTTGGGCAGAGTATTCAGGTGTCGCCAATTGGAAGTCACATCCTTCCCACTATGGTGACTGCTTAAGCATGAGCACAGTAAGGCCAGTGAATGATGGGTCATGTTGGCTTGACTTATCAAGAGAGACATGCTTTCTCCTCTGCTGACTCTGAACCTGGTAAGACACAGGTCAGGAGCTGCTGTCTACTTTTTTGTTATCATACATGTCATGGGTTGAACTGTACCAAAGTTCTAACCACCAGAACTGTGAATGTGACCCAAATGAGAAAAAGGTCCTTTGCTGATATACTCAAGTTAAAATGAGGGCTTCCTGGACTGGACCCTAAATCAAGGACCAGTGACTTATCAGAGAGGCACTGATGTAGAGACAAGAGTAGAAGGTGCTATGATGAGGCAGGCATTGGAGTGATGAAGCTACAACTCAAAGAACATCAAGGACTGACAGGCACCACCAGATCCTAGGAGAGAGGCTTGGGACGGCTTCTCCCCAGAGTCACCAGAGGGAGCATGTTCCTGCCCATGCCTTAATTTTCCCCCTTGAGTCTCCAGAACTGAGAGCATAAAGCTTTGTTGTATAAACCACTCTTTGTACCATACTGTTATAACAGCCCAGAAAACAACATCTGACAACCTGTAAATAAATAGCAGTGCCCCAGAGACTGAGAGAAACTGGATACTGATGACTCTCTAAGCCCCAGAATAAGTGATGTTGACAAGATGATCTCTGCTTCTTATTTCAGGAAACAATGATTTGTTACTTTTTAAAATTTAAGTTAGTTTGAGGTTTTTGGTTTGTTTGTTTGTTTTTTCTTCTGTTACTAAGATGCAATGAGCCCTTACTAAAAGAAAAACAAATCTGGATACTATAATACACAGTTATGTTATATATAGCGCCAAAGAAAATGTCCCTATGCCATATTACAAAGACAACCTTTACTCACGGGAAAGGGGTACTTAAGGATCATTATTCCTTAGCAATATGCAGTGATGGGTAAATACCAGAGCTACTCTTTTTTTTTGTTTTTAATTATACAAGCACTGGGTACAGTCAGAAGCACGGGAGGGTGAGAGAATTCACCAGAGCCAGAGTGGGGAACAGAACAGGCAGACCGATGAAATACACTACTGAGGGGAGCAGCGGGCGTGGCAGGAGAGGTCTGCATGCCATGTGGGACCCTGGCCTGGCGGCCAGGGATCGAACCAACGCTGCAGAGGCTGCGGGCAGCTCACAGCCCAGCGCTCAACCGCTGTGCCACCAGGGGAGGCCCACCAGAGCTAATCTTATAATTTAGGTCATCATTTCTTGGTGGCCAGCTTAAAACATGAGCAAGAGTTTTTAATTATCAAAGTGACTGCCTTATTGTTCTTTACATAGAAACATTACCCTCCTTTCCTTCTGTTCATGCCATAGAGATGAATAACAGATGGATCTAATTATTATTACAATGAGTTTTATCAAAAAATGCTAATATTATTACTAAAAGTGTCACCCATTAAAAATTTCCAACATTAGATATGTATGCCCCTGACTTGCATACATAAGTTGATCCCCCTTTTTTTAAAGCTAAATTTATTTAATTATTAGAGGAGAATAGTTTTCAATAGTAAGAGCTTCTGTGCTTAGAGCATAATGAGGTACAAATTCTTTTTATAACACAAAGTTAATTTCTGGTAGGGGTTTGAGGTATCCATCTCACCATTGTAAACATCTTCTTCTCTGATACTAGAAAACCCCTGCTGAGAGTCAGGGAGACTATTTCTTAGCTTTGATGTGCTCTAAGCTTCTATTTCAAGCTCTGTTGTGTCCTTATGAGTTTGAAGTGACCAGAATAGGAATAACTACACACCAGAGACTTGGGCCCAGGACTTCTGTCATTTCACCTTACAAAGAGCAATCTTAAATAACATTCAGCCTTTTAGAGATCAAATTAAGACAGAAGCTTTTGTTGGTAAGGCAATTCTTTGGAATTAAATATGAACAGAGCTATCTATGATGCAAATTTGCTTTTGATCTCACGGACTAATAAAAAATGTACTGTAGATGACAACCGAATTCATTACACTCACTACCATAGCAATTTGGGTCAACAAATCTTACTGGTTGCTCTCACAAGATACACAGTAAATAGATTAAGTATTAAAACTTAATGTGGGTGATACATGTTTTGCAGCAATTTTAGGATTTTTCAAATAGCATCCTTTCCCCAAAAAGATTCTCTTTGAAAGGCTTAACTGAAATTCTTCATTTCTCACTTGCAGTTACTGAAAACACTTGTTTAATGGAAATGTTATCTTGGAGTCATAAAACATTGACACAATTACCATTCACTGAACTAATATTTGCTAAGTACCTCCTCCCATGTTCCAGGTTAAAATTAGAGACTGCAAGGATCTCCCCCTTGGTGCAGGGATTAAAGTCTCAGCACTATCAAGCTAAACTATCTGCAACCTCTGCAGCATTAATTTAATCCCTGGCCAGAGAGCTAACCCACATGGTACAGCAAACCTCTCCAGGCAAGCCTCCTGCTCCCCTCGGCAGTATATTTCAGTAGATCTGCCTGTTCTGCTTCCCGCTCTGTCTCTGGTGAAGCCTCTCAACCTCCACCAGTTCTTGTATGCATAATATATAAAAATAAATCTTTAACAAAAATTAGAAAGCAAGAGAGCTGGTCAGTGTCAGAGAAGACTCCTGAGAAACTGGGGCAGGGGTGTTGGGTCTCATCTGGAACCTGGAGTACTGTTCAGATGGGAAGACAGTGAGCCTTACTGTGTGGGCCTGCATATCCAGTAGGTAGTTCTGTTACCAAGACACTCAACACCATGAAATAGATGCAGGAAGTGGACACTAAAGGATGGGTGGAGAAAAATGAACAGCACATACCCTTCTCAACTTTGCGTGGTATAAGCATAGTGCAGGAAAACAATTTTTAACGTATGAATACAGTAAACTGAAGTTTTCCTTATTTCTGTTGGTTCCAGAAACTAGTAGAGTAAGACATGTTTTGCCAATTAGGGTCGATCATAATGGGGTTCACTGTCATTCTCCCAACTGGACAATCTCAAATAATCAACGGTACATGTTGATTAATCTGTATAAATTATCCATTGGGTGAGACAGGAGGTGTGCAGTTGTGACAGAATTCAGGCACAGAACCACTGCTCCTGAACAGTTGTTTGTGCTCTCTCAGCCCTGCATCTCTGCTCTCATATCGATGAATATGTACAAAGCTTCAGAATGAAGTATCTGCAAGGAAAAACAGTAATTCATCTTCAGGAAACCCCTGACTGGCCAGGTACTTTGTCTTTTGTTAGGAGTGTTTGTGGTTGGTAAAGTCATCTCTTCCCTTCACAACTTTCTGGGTCCTACTTCTGCTTCACAGTTCCTTCCCAGTTAAAAATTAAAGAGAAATCACTTGGAAGAAGACAGTGGCAGCATGTGGATGAAGTCGCATCTAACTTTACCCAGGACTTTTGTTGCTTTGGGGATGAGTTTACTTTTCCCTTTGCATAGTAGCAGGGTTGATTCATGTAATGACTCAAAAGAGAGCCCACATCTATATGAACTCATATTCTAAACTAGAGTTTATTCTCTCTTATCTGCAGTGTATCAACCTGTGAAAACATAGTACACTGGTGTAAGAAGAAAAATAATTGTCATCCTTCCAGTCTTTCCTGGGTGCTGCATGCTGTGCCTAGTCCAGTCCCCACTGTGGCTAGGAGGGGCCCTGAGCAAAAGTGCTGCACCAGCTCAGTGTGTGGCATGCCTTGGTACCAGTGCTGGGTTTTCTAAGTCCCCAGCAAGTATGAAAGAGTATTTATGATGAACTGACATTTAATTCTGCCATTTTTTGGGAAAGATAATCATACAAAGTAGATTTATAAACAAAGAGCTCCTACATTAGACCATGAATTCGGCTACTTTTATTTATGCATTCAACACGGATCACCCAGTTACCAACAGTGCAAACTGATATAGCTTATTTCCTTACTCCCCACTCAGATGCCTACCCTATGAACTCTTACTTCATAGCACCCTTTAGAATTAAGTATCATTCTCATTATTATTGCTTACTTGGAGATAAGGACAATAAAGCAAAAGTCAATAGTTGTAGTAAATCTCTCTGCTTTTCTGATCTATGACTAGTCCCTAATCAGCTGAGCATATCAGACCATGCTATTAACAGTGTCCTCAAAAGCAATTTAAA